TTAGGTACAGACAAGGGTGATATTTGGCCAAGAACCATTAGAACTGCAATCAGAGAAAGACCATTATATGATCTCACTCATATATGGAATTTAAGAAACAAAACAGAATCGTTGAGGAAGAGAGGAAAATATAAAACAAGACGAAGTCAGAGAGGGAGACAAACGTAAGAGACTCTTAATCATAGGAAACAAACAGGGTTGCTGGAGGGGAGGATGTGGAGAGTTGGGGTAACTGGGTGATGGACATTAAGGAGGTCATGTGATATAATGAGCACTATTATGTAAAACTGATGAATCACTGACCTCTACCTCAGAAACTAAATAATATATGTTAATTAATTGAATTTACATTTTAAAGTAAAAAAAACTATTATTAACTTGTAATTTTTTGGCTTCTCTTCCCAGTGGTTTCTGCATAGTTCTGTTTCTTTAGTTACAGTAGTTACCTTCTGCAGTTATTTCCCGTTACCTCTAGTTATCTCAGTCTGTAGCTGCTATTTTCACCAGTGTCTGGGAAAGCAGACCATGTTGTCATGCTGGCTTTTATAGCCAGTGGTATCAGTGCTTTTTGCTAGTGTTTCTAATCTGCTTTTATTGCAGTTTGTTTTGTTTTTGTTTTTTGTTGTTTTTTTTAATAAAGTATTTTTAATTTAAGGTATGTACTTTTTATTTTTTTTTTTTTTTAAGATTTTATTTATTGGGGCACCTGGATTGCTTGGTTGGTTAGGTGTCTGTCTTTGGCTTGGGTCATAATCCCAGGGTCCTGGGATTGAACTCTGTGTCAGGCTCTCTGTTCTCAAATATTTAGTTGAGAGAGAGAGAGAGAGAGCACGTGTGAGCACAAGCAGTGGGGGGAGTGGCAGACGGAAGGAGAGGCAGGAGCAGGCTTCTGGATTAGCAGAGAGCCCGATGTGGTACTCGATCTCAGGACCTGTGTGGACCGACTGAGCCACACAGAGGCCCGTTTTATAACACTTTGTCTTCAAAGTTAGCTGAATGCCTCCTCTTGTGATAATAGTTTTCTGTTGATTGATGCTACATGTTGTGATCTCTAGTTACACTAGTTCTTCATATCCTCAAATGAGTAGGAATTTTTATTTATTTTTACATCAAATTTTTTAGGTCCTTCTCTTTTAGCCTCTGTGTCCATATTCAGGAAATTTAGAACCATTTTCTTTTTTTTTCCTTTTTATTGTTTTTGCATTTTGTTTTGTTTTTGAGCATAGCTGATTAGAACCAGTTGTTTAGAAGATCCAGAGGACCCTTGAGAGGACTGAATGTTTATTTAAAGACTTGTGGAATACCTGGGTGGCTCAGTTGGTTAAGTATCTGATTGGCTCAGGTCGTCATCTCAGGGTCCTGGAACCAGAGTCCTTGCTCAATGGGGAGTCTGCTTCTTCCTCTCCCTCTCCTCCCCCCCCCATCCTGCTCACACATGTGAGTGCACGTGCTCTCTCTCTCTCAAATAAAATCTTTACAAAAATAAATAAAGACCTGTCTTGCCTTCTCCAATGAATTACTGTTCTGGGAAGAATATACCCCAAAGGGTAAATTCCCCGTTTTTGTGAACCTGCCAAATAGGCACATCACTTGACCTTCCATTCTTTCTTTTTTAAGTTGTGATTTTAAGTGCATGAATGAGTAGAACTTAGTAAATAAATACTTGTTAGCCCCCAAACTATTGGCCCTGCTTTATCTCTTAATTGGAAAGCTTGTGGATGTGCAAAGTAGTTTACTGCCTAGTAGCTAAGATGGTAAGGAACTGGCATGATTTGTCTTTTTAATGTAGTGTCTCCACTCCCTCAGTAAAAAAAACATGGTCAGGTGAATGTTTTGGATTCTGACCTGTGATAGTGAAATGAAAAGTGGATGATAGCCCCTTCTCACGATGGGAGTTGGGAGTAGAGGTCCTGCATTATCTCTTGCTATATAACAAATTCCCCTCAAATTTAGTAATTTGAGAGAACAAACATTTATAATCCCATGCAGTCCCAAGGGTCTGGAATCAGGCTTAAGCTGGATGGTTCCGATTTAAAGTCTTTCTTGAGTTTGTAGGCAAGATATTGGCCTGGGATGCAGTCATCTTAAAGATTGGTTAATGTTGGAGAGTATGCTTCCAAATCATATGAGGTTATTAGCAGGAGACCACATGCTAATCTTATTAGCATGTGAGCTTCTGAATTGGGCTATTCACAGTACCACAGGTGATTCTAAAGAGAATAACCAAAATGTAAGCCATAGTCTTTTAGAATCTAATCTTGGGAATAACATATCATTTCTTCTGTATTCTGTTGGTCACACTGACCAATTTTGGTACAGTGTGGGGAGGAACTACACAAAGATGTGAATATAGGGAAGCAGAGTTAATTGGAGATTCTCTTGGAATTTGGTCATCACAGGTCTCTTTCTTTGTGGACATGTAAGAAGTAGTGTCAGGGTGTGGAAAACATTTTCTTTCTTTCTTTTGTAGTATCCTTTATCATTATGTTCAGGGGACCTAGGAATAATTATACCAATAAAACTTTTCATAGCTTACCTTTATATGTTTATGTTTCAGTTAGTAGCTGTGCAAATTGACTTTCCTCTATATCCTTGATTTGATAACAAGGGCTTGTTTTCCCTGTTTAGTAAAGTTCTCAAGATCTGGAGAATATCTACAGCAGTGTAACCTAAAATGTGGTTATTGAAACAAGACTTTTCCAGGATGCTCTACACTAAGGGGGTTTAGTTACTTTTCTTCCCCTTGAAGAATCATTGTGCAAGTTAGTATATCAGAAGTCTCTGAGAAGTCCTGCATTGAAGAAATGTTTCTCTTTGTTGTACCCAGTGTTTTTAAAAATTTACTTGAACATTGAATTGCTATATTGTATACCTGAAACTAATATAACAGTGTATGTTAGCTATACTGGAATTAAAATAAAAACCTTAAAAACATTTACTTGATCATAAAACCCACATTTGTTATAAGTGGAATAAATTAAAAACCTTATTCTAGCAAAAATTTATCACATTCTTTTATTCAAAACAACTTATTCAGGCAGCTTTATTTCTATATTTTAGATAATTAGAATTTTTCTTAAGTCCTCAGTTTGTCATTATTTTGCATTTTTAAAGGCAGCTAAGGTCAGAAATTGCAAATAGCTGATACTTTATTTTCACTGTTATTAGCAATTGTGATATTGTAGGATCTGAGGGAGGGTTTGTTTTTTAACAATTTACTGATTTATTAGCAAATGTTTTAGAGCATATTCTAGGCCCGGGGGTTACTGTGATCCGCATAGTTTGTCCTCCTTGTGAAGTAATAGCCAAACAAACATAGGAGGTGATTGCAGAAGGGACACAGAGACCAAAGCAAAGGCATAGTGGTCCACAAATAGCTGCTGGTGGGCCAAGTATTAATCAGTTTTTTACATTGATTGTCAACAAAGAAGGGAGGAGTTTTCGAATCTGTAATGGTGCTAGATGATGTTAAACTTATTTGAAGGTATCATACATTGAAAAGATCTAGAAACATTTGCTATATTGTTGGTAACATTTCATTCCAGAAAAAGCACAAGGTAGCTTTTAAGCAGAGAATTGTTGAGTTCTGAACAGATACCCATGCTTGTCTACTTTAATGCAGAAAAGATGCTCATTAAGAGTTTATTTTATTAATAGTGAAAGGGAATATAAGGGCAAGGAGAAGAAATGTGTGGGAAATACCAGAAAGGGAGACAGAACATAAAGACTCCTAACTCTGGGAAACGAACTAGGGGTGGTGGAAGGGGAGGAAGGCGGGGGGTGGGGGTGAATGGGTGAAGGGCACTGAGGGGGGCACTTGACGGGATGAGCACTGGGTGTTATTCTGTGTGTTGGTAAATTGAACAGCAATAAATACATTTATTATAAAAAAAAGAAAAAGTTTTATAGTGTTACATGCAGTTCTAATAACATTAGCTATTTGGTTTTTAAACTCATAATCTATGGGCTTTGGTGGGTTTTGTTTTGCTTTCTTGTATACTGAAAAAGAATGTCCATTAGTGATAATATGGGAAGAGTTGAGCAATAGAAACTATACGAACAAGAATGTAAAATACAGCCAATTAGGGGCATCCAATATGTAGAAAAATAACTGCATATCTTGGACCCCGATATATTCTGGTATAGAAAGTTTGAATTATGTGCAAATAAATGACAAATACCCACCATTTGCTTCGATGTGGATGGAACTGGGGAGGGTATTATGCTGAGTGACATAAGTCAATCGGAGAAGGACAAACACTATATGGTCTCATTCATTTGGGGAATATAAAAAATAGTGAAAGGGAATAAAGGGGAAAGGAGAAAAATGAGTGGGAAATATCAGAAAGGGAGACAGAACATGAGAGACTCCTAACTCTGGGAAACGAATTAGGGGCGGTGGAAGGGGAGGTGGGCGGGGGGTGGGGGTGACTGGGTGACGGGCACTGAGGGGAGCACTTGATGGGATGAGCACTGGGTGTTATTCTATATGTTGGCAAATTGAACACCAATAAAAAATAAAATTATATAAAAAAATAAATTATGTGCAAATATCCTATTTAAGAAAACAAATATGGGATGTAAATTATAAATTAACATTATTCAAAACATTTTCAAGAAGGCTTTTTGCATATGGTTATTTGTATAGTTTTTTTGAAAAGCTTATATGTCTGAAATGATACATTGTTTTTAAGGATGATGGAGAACTATGGTTTTTATTATTGGAAAGCAGTAAAGGAAACACTGCTAAAATTTGTAAGCAGTTTTAACTTAGGCTGAGATCTTATAACCTCAGTGGAGTAACAGTGAAGTTCTGTAGGTAGATGGCTGCTCTGTATGATCACTTTACAGCATCAGTGTTTACAAATATATTTAGAAATGTTTTTGTTGTAATTATAGGACAAAATTAAAAATTAGAGAGGTAGGCATAAAAGATTCAATCTGTGAAACTAGAAAGATGTCATTTTTTTGAAGTACAAATTGTTGATACTCTTTTTTAGAAACGACTGCAGAAAGAACTGTTGGCTTTGCAAAATGACCCACCTCCTGGAATGACTTTAAATGAAAAGAGTGTGCAAAATTCAATTACACAGTAAGTGTTTAGTTTTTGAAATACTTCTTTTATTATTAGTGTAATATATGAAAATATACTTTTTAAAATGTAGAATTTGGGGGCACCTGGGTGGCTCAGTTGATTAAACATCCATGGCTCTTGATTTCAGTTAAGGGTTGTAAGATTTCACCCTGTATTGGGCTCTGCGCTCAGTGGGGAGTCTTTCTCCTCCCTCTGCCCCTCTTCCCACCCCCAAAATAAATAAATCTTAAAAAAAAATAAAATGTAGAATTTTTCATATTCCATCCCACTCTTCCATCAAAAGATAGATAAATCTTATTCTGTGCATTTTATATATGCCATTTTGTGTCATAGGATAGTATCATACTCATTGTATATAATGTGTGATTTGTAAACCTTTTTTAAAATATATATATATATTTTTGGGAGCCTGGATGGCTCAGTCAGTTAAGCATTTGCCTTTGGCTCAGGTCATGATCCCAGGGTCCTGGAATCAAGCCCTACATTAGGCTCCCTCCTCAGCAGGGAGCCTGCTTCTCCTCCCTCTGCCTGCTACTCCCCTTGCTTGTGCTCTCTCTCTGTCAAATGAATAAATAAAATCTTTTAAAAAACAACAATAAAATAAAAACCAATGTTGATCAGTAATATTTTTAAATGTTTCCTGCTAAAGAGGCATCCTATAAAGACTTCGGTCTGACTTTGTTTATGAAGTGATTTCCATCTAAAATAGAGCAGTATGGGGCACCTGAGTGGCTCAGTGGTTGAGCATCTGCCTTCAGCTCAGGTTGTGATCCCGGAGTCCTGGGATCAAGTTCCGCATCAGGTTCTCTGCAGGGAGCCTGCTTCTCCCTCTGTCCATGTTTCTGCCTCTCTCAGCATCTTTCATGAATAAATAAATAAATTATTTAAAAAATAACAATTTGGAATGAGGTTGTTTGTCAAATTTTTCGAAATCACATGTAAAGATTTGAAAGAAAGTAGGAGTCAAGATATGTCTCCATTCCCTGAATACATTAATTGCCCTGACAGAAGGGTAACTAAATGAATGTCAGACTATTTAGCAACCTCTTTTAATAGATAAGAAACTTCTTCATGAGGATGAAGAAGTGAAGTGTAAAGAAGGAAGACACAAGAAGTATTCTAATTCTGCTCCTTCCTTAGAAGACGTAAAGAAGTCTTCTCCCAGATAAGAAACCAAGAAGCATAGAGAGATATGTGTCCTCTCATAAAAAAATGAGCATTTGAATTAGTTTGAAATGTTTTCAAGAGTGTCATCCTAAGATCTCACAATCCAGTATAGTCTATTTTTACCACTCCTTTGTTTTAATAGTTTTGTTAGGCAAGGGTAAATGTTCTGAAATCGGGGGTGGGGATGGGGGAGGATTTAAAATAATGAAACCTCTCCTTAAAAAAAAAAAAACAAAACTCCAAAAACATTAAAGGGATGGGAGGCAACACGATAAAAGTTTACTATAGACCAAGTTGTAGGACAAAAAGCATAATTTAAATGCTTCATGACATTCTAGATCAAGAGAGCAAAAGTGACCAAAATTAATGGACATATTTATCCTTTTAGAGAAACATAACTTTTATTTTATTTTATTTTAAAGATTTATTTATTTATTCATAGAGACAGAGAAAGGTAGAGACACAGGCAGAGTGAGAAGCAGGCATCACACAGAGAACCCGGCGCGGGTTCCAGGGTCTCCAGGATCATGCCCCGGGCTGCAAGCGGCGCCAAACTGCTGCACCACCGGGGCTGCCCAGAAACATGACTTTTAGTTACCTTTGTGAGGTTTGAGTCCATACTTAAGACAGAAGTTATGCTTTTTAAAATCAGGGATATGAAGAATGGACCTATTGATGTTTGGTTGGATACATTGTTTGAAAATGGGTACAGATCTCTAGCTCTGTAACAGTCTTTAAAACATTGCTAGGTCCTCAAGCATTTTTAGGTTCCCTGCAAAATTGAGCAGAAGGTACAGATTTCCCACATACCCTCTGCTCTCACACATGCACAGCCTCCCCCATTATCAACATCCATTGGTTAAAATTGATGAAGCATGATTGATGCATCATAATCTCCCAAAGTCTATAGTTTGGATTATAATTCATTATGGGTGTTATATGTTCTAAGGATTTGGGCGAATGTGCAACGACATATATCATCATTATGGTATCATACAGAATATTTTCACTGGCCTAAAAATCCCCTGTGCTCCAGCTGTTCATCATCTCCCCCAGCCACTGATCTTTTTACTATCTCTGTAGTTTTCCCTTTTCCAGACAGTCATATAGTTGTAATCATACAGTGTAGCCTTTCAGATTGGCCTCTTTTATTTAGTAATATGCATTTAAGGTTTTCCACTTCTTTTTGTAACTCTCAATTGATTTTTCATTTCTATCAAACAAAATTTGAAAATAGAACACATTTAGATATATAATAATTATATATATAATTATTATATACATTTTTAAAAGATTTTATTTATTAATTTGTGAGAGACAAAGAGAGGCAGACATAGGCAGAGGGAAAAGTAGGCTCCCTGTGGAGAGAGAGCCTGATATGGGACTTGATCCCAGGACCCCGGGATCATGCCTTGAGCCAAAGGCAAGATGCTCAACCACTGAGCCACCCAGGTGCCCCATTAAGAGGTATTTTTGTTCTGTATAACTAAACAAATAGATTATATTCCATTTTCATTGGTAATAACCAAGTGCTTCCTCTTTCAACCTTTCCTTTTTTTGTTAAGAGTGGGACCCACATAACAGTGATTTATAAAAAGTTAAAGGAATGTTTTACATTTGTACAAATGGAAACATTTGTATAGATTGTCAAGCAGTTATACCACAAATTGTAACTACCAAAACAGCTTTATCTTTGTTACAGAATAAACCTGTCATTTAGAGATGTTTGTCAAACAATTTCTCTTTTAAAATAATTTATTGTAAATGAATCACAAAACTTTTATCTTTGACTATCTTCCAGGGTATAAAAGTAGTCTAAAAAAATTAGATCTTAAAAGATGTGTTTAAGTAGCATAAAAACAATGATGAAAAACACTTTCTGGAAGACAGTTTGGTAGTATGTATTAAGACCTTTAAAAATAAGAGTATCCTATCCTTTGAACTAATAAATAAACCCCTATGCTGTCCTAAGGAAGAAACAGAGACCTAGAACCAAGGGTGCCTGGTTGGCTCATTCAGTAGAATGTGCAACTCTTGATCTCGCAGTTGTGAATTTAAGCCCCATGTTGGTGGGCATAGAGCTTACTTTAAAAAAAAATTAACTTAGAATTAACTATGCTCATTTCAGCATTACATGTTATAGAGACAGTTTGGAAACAATGTAGATATTATTAACAGGGAAATTATTTCTCAGGTTAAGACCTTGAATGCCATCCCCTCAGTTAAAGCCTGAAATGCACAACTTTTATATAGTCATGATTACTTTTGAAAATTCCTTAGAGAGGCCATATTGGTGTGTATCCTGTTGTAATATAGCCAACAGAGCTAGTTTTTCCTTTGGAGTGGAATAGTTGGCTGTTTCTTTGATTAGGAGCTATGAATGTATGAAAAATATGTTTTTAAACATTAGAATCCTGAAACAATAGCTACTCACAGGAAGACTTCTCAGGAACGTATGCTCTTAATTGGACTCATAAACACTGAGGATTTGTTTTTTAAATTTTTTATATTTTTAAATTTTAATTATTATTTTTTAGAGAGAATTGTGGGGGTTGAAGGTGGGCAGAGGAAGAGAGAGACTCTTTTTTTTTTTTTTTTTTTTTTTTTTTTGAGAGACTCTTAAGTAGACTCCATGCCCAGTGTGGAGCCGACACAGGACTCAGTCTCAGGACCCTGAGATTGTGATGTGAGCCAAAATCAAGAGTCAGACCCTTAACCCAGGCATCCTATAAACACTGATAATTTGAATTTGTGTAATTTAACTATCAGGTATCAATTCCATCGATAAACTACAAAATGTCTAGAATGAAAGGTACCCGAAGTACTTCAGCGGTGATTATTTTTGGGTATTTTTGTTTATTTATATCTTTCTAAATTTTCTATAATGGACATAAATTGATTGCTTTTTCAATTAGCAAAAAGTTATTTAAAATTATCCTGCACAATGTTGAAAATTATGCCGCCTTTGACCTATCTCACCCAGATATTGGAAGGATTACTGAGGTATTTGCTTAGCTATTATTTAAAAGCTGTTGGGGGGGGAAAAAAGCTGTTGGGATAGATCACATGTAAATATATGGTACATTATGTCTTAAAATTTGCCCTATAAACAGAATGAAAGGGCACCAGGAAGTGTTCCCTGGATGGCTCAGTTGGTTAAACTCTGGACTCTTGGCTTTGACTTAGGTCATGATCTCAGTGTCCTGAGATCGAGCCCACAGTTGAGCTCTGTGTTCAATCTAGAGCCTGCTTGAGAACCTCCCTCTCGCTTCCCCTCTTTTCTTCCAACCCTGCTCGAGCTAGCTCATGCTCTAAACGCTCTAACTCTGTCAAATATCTTTAAGAAAGGGCACCAGGAAGTCCTCTGATTTTCCTTGGAATAGTCACTGTGCATAGTGGGTGTCAGGGGAGAATAATAAAAAGGGGATTTTGATGGCCAGGAAGGACACAGTTTATAAAGAAAATAGTTTTTTGTTGTTGTTTATAGTACAGCTTATACATTGTATTTAATTTACTGTGTTTTTATGTCAGGAAAGTACTGTGTGTTTTACATGCATAATGCCAGTTATCTTTCCAACACTTTGGGATGAATACCTTTTTTTAATGAACTTTTAACTTTGTTTTTTATATCTGTTTTATAATTTAAATAGTTAAAATGAGAGAAATAGAACAGCTTATTCATGGCCACACAGCTAAGGTACAGTACTGTGTAATTTCACTGTAAAATATTACGTCTTGGCTCTATGGTCATACCTTTTATTACCATGTATGGTATTGAACATACATTCCAAAAATGAATTAGCTATGCTCCTAAGGCCCTGTATATATTAGCTGATTGCTTTTAGAGAGTAGGCACGTTTATTATAAGCTCCTAACTCCATAGTATGTGGGGTGATGACTAGAACCTCAACACTGTATTCTCAATATTAGTTCCTTTAGTTTCTCTATACTTAAAGTAATAAATTTCTATACCTAAAAAGTTTAAGAGGAAAGGAATTGGCTAGTGCTATAATTAGGAACTCATTCTTATGGTTGGTCCACTTTTGCTTCTCAGTGTGGCCCCATCATCTTTGCCACCATTAATCCTTTTTAAAAAATCATTTTCTACTCCTATCCCTTTTTTAAAAATTTTATCTATTTTTTTAAAAATTAATTTTTTAGAGAATGCGTGCATGAGTGGTAGGAAGGGGCAGAGGAAGAGAGAGAATCTTTTTTTTTAAGATTTTATTTAATTTTTATTTATTTATTTATGATAGTCACACACAGAGAGAGAGAGAGGCAGAGACACAGGCAGAGGGAGAAGCCGGCTCCATGCACCGGGAGCCCGACGTGGGATTTGATCCCGGGTCAACAAGATCGCGCCCTGGGCCAAAGGCAGGCGCCAAACCGCTGCGCCACCCAGAGATCCCAAGAGAGAGAATCTTAAGCAGGCTCCACACTAGGTTTGGAGGGCTTGATTTCAGGACCCTGAGATCATGACTTGAGCTGAAATGGAGAGTTGGATGAGTTGGATGCTTAACTGACTGAGGAGGCATCCAGGCACCCCAGTTTCCCTTTTTTGAAATTTATTTATTTCATTTATTTTATTTTTTTTTTTTTAAATTTTTATTTATTTATGATAGTCACACAGAGAGCGAGAGAGAGAGAGGCAGAGACACAGGCAGAGGGAGAAGCAGGCTCCATGCACTGGGAGCCCGACGTGGGATTCGATCCCGGCTCTCCAGGATCGCGCCCTGGGTCAAAGGCAGGCGCCAAACCGCTGCGCCACCCAGGGATCCCTATTTCATTTATTTTTAAGATTTATTTATTTGAGAGAGAGAGAGAGCATAAGCAGGGGGAGGGGCAGAGGGAAAGGGAGAGGGAGAAAAGACTCCTTCCCCTCCTTTTTTTTTTTTTTTTTAAGCACAAGAGATAGGGGGTCCTGGCTGGCTCAGTTGATAGAGCATGTGACTCTTGATCTCGGGGTTGTGAGTTCAAGCTCCATGCTGGGTGTAGAGCTTACTTTAAATAAATAAACAAGAGATAAGTGTACAGGTTATAATTTAAAAGAGATTTATATTCATGATTATTATATGTGGAAACAAAGTAAGCTTGTAAAGAGGCCATGGAAAGCTCTTCTGAGTTTCCTTAAATACCTGAAACAGACAAAGGAAAGGCAGTATAGAGCCTTGAGTAGCTATCAGAGTAAGTGGACTAATGTTAGTTTAGCTGCTTTTTCCTTTTGTCTCTAGAACACTGATGAGAAGATAGATCTAACAGCCACAGTTCTCTAGTCATTTTTGATACCTACTTTGTCCATTGCTTTTAAAGTGGTATCAGATGGGCAGTTCATTAGTTTGATATTATCTATATAAAATCTTTTCAGTCATTGTGGAAATACTGTTTTGGAAAAATAAGACAGCATAAATTGAGTATCAAGAGTGCAGGCTTTGGTGTCAACACACTTGAGTTGGGTTTTCATTTTGTGTTCTCAGACCTGGATTAAAATTTGGCTCTGGCCTTTGCTAGTTGCCTGACTTTGATCTAGTTACTTAACCTTTGAGCGTCAGAGAAGGATATAGGGCAAGGGGTGTTGATACCAACTCTAATTGTTGGGAGAATGAAGTGCACTGTTACACATGAATGACTCCTATCCCAATGCCTGGCATAAAGGAAGTCTTCAGTCTTCCCTTTTCTTTCTCACCCCAATTCTTCTTATCTGAAGTTTTTTGTTTTTGTTTTTTTTTCCCTATTCTAGGTGGATCGTAGACATGGAAGGTGCACCAGGTACCTTATATGAAGGGGAAAAATTTCAGCTTCTATTTAAGTTTAGTAGTCGATATCCTTTTGACTCTCCTCAGGTAACTTCCATGTTTTGAACATTTTATTGTATTTTTAGATTTTAGCAAAATACTAAATTAGTGACTTTTGACTAAATACAAATTTATAAAGAAATTCATTGTAATTATATGAATAGATTTGTTCCTTTATCTGTAATATAATCAAGATCTTTATGAACATTTTCCTTTATTGAGATTAGGGTTTGCTACTTTTGTGCTTTAAGAAATTAACATTGTTTTTTATGTATAAATGTTAGCAGAAAAGGGGATGGAAAATCTAACTCAGGCCTATGGGTTGTGGGAGAATATAGCATTTTGGAATAACTGGAGGCACTTACTCCTAGATAAGATGATAGAATGATAATGTGATAAGTCAGGTGCTTTGTTGAAAGGAACAGTTCTTTGATTTTGCATTGACATGCTGTACTTGCAGTCTTTTAGTACTGTAAAGATAGAATATATTACCAGATGTTAATGGGTTAATACTCAGACAAGGGATAATGGTGGTTGAGGAACTTTTTTGGGAGCTGTTTAACTGTGGTGAATGATTAATCTTTGGGAGTTAGAGAAAAGGAGACTCTAGGATGACTTCCAGATTTCTGGCTTGGTAAGATGGGTAAATGAGTTACTGGCAGCAAAATGGTGAGACTTAATGCCAGTTCTATCTGGTGCTGCTAGATAATGAGGTTCTGGATAATGAAACTTCTCAAGTATCTAAAACTCAACTTGTGAAGTGCTCAAATACATTTTTTTTTTGAGAAAAATAATCTGTTGCAACTTTAAATAGAATATAAACAATAGCCTTGGCCATGTAGGCGTATAGATGAAAGTCAGTTATTGATTGTGCTATAAATAAAAGAGATAATTTTTTTAATAAAGATACAGAATTAAATGGAAATGGACTTGAGTTCAGTTTTTGTGTGAGCAGGAAACTAAGATTAGGAAGCTCATTTTTATCATTTTCATAAAAATTAAAAATAAAGCTAAGAGTTATGTGTTATCATGACCTCTAGGCCTTTATAGTAAGCATGTGTAGACTGATAAGAAAGCAAAACAAACATCTTCTCTCTAGAAAATGACCTTCACGTTTTATGGCCTTTTTGCTTATCAGCATCATTTAAGATTGTTAATCCTTGAAGGCAGTGGGGTCTCAGGCATTCCCTTGTCACCTTCAGCCTGTTTTTATACTTCAACTAAGTTTGTTGAAGGTATGTGAGGAAAGAATGTGACTCACCAACTCCAAACTGTTGACTTAGGGAGATATTGGAGAAGGCTTATTCCGGGAGCCCACAGATTTTTTTCATCAGAGGAAAATAATATTTTATAAACATGAACCAAGTCAAAAGTGTCCTCTAATCCTCTTAGTATTTAATTTTATTTATATTTTAAAAAGATTTTATTTATTCATGAGAGACACAGACAGAGAGAGAGAGAGAGGCAGAGACACAGGCAGAGGGAGAAGCAGGCTCCATGCAGGGAGCCCAATGTGGGACTCGATTCTGGGACTCCAGGATCACACCACCTGGGCTGAAGGTGGCACTAAGCTGCTGAGCCTCTGGGGCTGCCCAGTATTTAATTTTAAATCAGATATTGAACTCTGACACATCATCTGAATTCATCTCTTAATATTTCTGTAAATTACAGTGTTCGTAATGGATTCTGTCATCCTTTCTTAAATTCTTTTTTTTTTCCTTCCCTGATTTGACTTCTGTCCACTTTTTCTAATTCTTTTGATTTTGGTGTTCTCTGGGTTCTTTATTCAGTAGTCCCTTATTCTTCTCTCTCTTTTCTCTAATGTCTTCATCTGTCTTAAACAGCTACCTCCCAGATCTACAGCTCTGTGTACAACCTCTTCTTTCTGAGGTTTAATTTCACACCCTTGTTGGATATAGCTACTTGAGTATCTCCAGATGTCTCAAATTTAACACATCTAAACTCAATCTTTTCCAGTAACAAAATAAGTAAAAAAAAAATTTTCTTGAGTTACTGTCCCACCTATCTGCTTGCATTGAGATTCTTCCCTTTCCCCCACTGTTAAAATGTAGCTTTTCAGGTCCTTTTACAGTACTTAGGTCAGTCTACTGTTATCCTCTATCTGCTGTATTCCAAGTTTCTATCTCTCCTTTGGACTATTACATAATAGCCTCAAGTTCTTTCCACTCCTAGTCATCTGTTCACAGTGCTGTTAGATTTCTTTGAAGGTGTATTTGCCGTATTGATTTGCACAGATACATAACGCCACCACCACAGGTATCCCTGCTTTCTTTTTAAGACCTCAAATGCTTCTTTATTTTCTGTAGAGTCAAGTCTGAAAACTCTTCAGCTTAGCGTTTAAGTCTGAACTTAACCATTTCAGCTGCACATTACCTCCATGCCCTCTACTACGTAGTAATATTTCTATCATACTTTCTAATGTAACTTCCATTCTGATGTTATTTTGTAAGGCTCTAATGAAGTGGTTGGGAAGATGGAAATTGAAGCTTATTGAAGTAAAGTGTCTGTTGATTTAAAAGCTAGCTAGTAGGATAGTTAAGATTCAAATCCAAGTTACTTCTTTCCATACTGTCCATTAGGTGTGAGTACCGAAATGGGGAAAATGCCCATTTATCCAGCAATGTTATCTCTAAAAGTGAAAGATACTACTATTATAGAATGATAACTTTGAAAGCTCTGGGGCAGTTGTTCCCAATCCCAATTTTGGAATATGAGGATTCCTCTTCTTTTTTTTTTTTTAATTTTTATTTATTTATGATAGTCACACACAGAGAGAGAGAGGCAGAGATATAGGCAGAGGGAGAAGCAGGCTCCATGCACCGGGAGCCAGACGTGGGACTCGATCCCGGGTCTCCAGGATCGCGCCCTGGGCCAAAGGCAGGCACCAAACCGCCGCGCCACCCAGGGATCCCCGAGGATTCCTCTTTAACATCACTCCCATGTCACAGAAGTTGTATTGAGAAAATAACAGAGCTGCTGTAAGACTACTAATACTTTACAGTTATTTTTATGTTTTATTTATCACAGCATCTGTGTGATTATAAAATAATAATAATGATCTAGCAATCAGTTACTTGATGTGTATGCATGTCAAGAGATTTTTCCAATAACCGAAACTTTCCAGAGATGCATTGCTCTGGGGAAGTGATTAGAATCACTCAAAGGCAGTAAAATTCCTCATTCACCAAAGATTTTTTTATTGGGTGAGACCCAGTAGCATTGGCATTTGTTAGAAAATTAGTCTTTGATTTTCCTATGCAATAAGCAGTACTAAATATACCACTACTTACAAAACTAGAATTTGGGGAAATAACCCTAAAATAAACTAGTCTCATTTAAACTTATTACTTTTGTATCTGTAAGTTAGATTGATAAGACCATAATAAACCTTATAGTTGGCTGGGTTTTCTTTTCCCTGTTGTAGTTAATTTCTCTTGTATCTCACTTGACAGTGAAAAAGCTGCCTATCTGAAACAAGGTGTTTGGCCCAGTCATTTGCTTTAAAGGAAACCATTATGACAGCAAAATCTTTTACTATCGGGAGCAGAGATGAGGCACTTTTCCATCACTGTTTTCTACTAGCGTGCACTTACCATCAGCCATGCAGAATTAAATATCTTCCTATATTATATATATTCTGTTTTCCTATGTGAGAATACGGGTAAATGATCGGCCAATTTAATGTGTAGTAAATGTGAATTATGTGCCAAATACTGTGCTCTCTTTTTTAGAGATGAAGAAGAGCACAGAAATTAAAAGGTATTTTGCCTGCCTTTATTTAGTATTTGGATAGGCAGACATGGATTCATTCATTCTGTAAGTACTTATCTAGCATGTCATATTACAGACACTGTGCTAGATGTTGGCAGTTTAGTAGTGAAGAGAACCAAATAAAAAACCCGCATTCGTGGAATTTCTGTTCTTGTAGAAAGAGACAAAAAACAATAAGCAAAACATACAGTAAGGAAGATGGTGGAAAAAAAAGTAGAAAAGGGAATTCAGGATGTTGTAGCATTGGATTGAGCAATCAGAGAAGATTTCACTGAGAAAATCACTTTGGAGCAGAAATCTGAAAGAGGTGAGTGAATAAACATGTGAAAGAAGTTTGGAAAGAGCAGGTAAAAAAGCAAAGGCCATGAATCTGGAGCACATGTGGCAGGTCCCCGCAGTGCTATAAAAACAAGAGAGGGAATGAAGAGCATAGGTCTGAGAGAGAATTTGTTGTGGATTGTATAGCCCATTGTAAGAGTTTTGTTTTTTACTCAGAATGAGATGAAAAACCTTTGAATATTTTGAGAAGAATGACATGATCCTACTTAAGATTAAAAAGAAAAATTTGGCTGTTGTATGGCACATTGATTGTTGAGTGTACAAGTGTACAGGGAGATCAGACAACTCTTGCAGTAATCCAGGTGAAAGGTGATGGTGACTTGTACCAGAAAGGTAGCAGTGGAGGTTGTGGAAGATGGCCATATTTTGGACCTATTTTATTATTGTTTTTTAAAGATTTGTTTATTTGAGAGAATGAGAGAGAGAGCGCATGCGTGTGCATGCAAGTTGGGGTAGGGGCGAGAGAAATCCTCAAGCAGACTCCCTGCTGAAGAGAATCCCAGGACCCTGAGATCATGACTTGAGCCAAAATCAAGAGTCACCCGCACCCCTGGACCTATTTTAAAGGTTGAGCCAGTGGATTTGCTAATGAATTGATAAGGAATATAAATGTGGCAAAGGAGTCAGGGAAGACCACAACTTTTGGCCTGTACAACTGGATACAAACTGAAGTATGAATTGTATGCTTTGGGAGCAAAAGATAAAGCAGTGACCACTTTAGAATAAAATGAGGGGGCAAAGAAAAACCTGTTTGTACTGGGACTTAAACCACAAGAAGAGTTTATGTAAAAAGTGGAGCAAATCATGAAAAGACATGGCTTTTTCTGAGATTTGTGAGCAAGTGTAGTTTTATGTATAGTTACTTATAGGAGGGCTACAGCAGGATATGAAAAAGGAAGGACATTTTGGGGCTTCTC